GTCTTGGGGTGCGGGTGCGTGATGGGGAGCGGGAACGCCGTGTGGTGACACGGGCACCGCCGGGCACCGGCAGTCAGGCCGCGCTCCCGCTCCCAGCCAGCGCCATCCCAAACTGCAGACGATGATAAAAAATTAATTGCGGGATTTTGCTGCACGTGGCAGGAGTGGGGATGAGCAGCATCTTCCCTCCCTCCAGCCTCTCCTGCTGGAGCTCTCTGCTGCCGGCAGAGACCCTGTGCCAGCCCGCAAGGTGAGCTGTGTTATCTCTGCTCCTTCCATGGCCCTGTCCCGCTCTCGCCTTCCCCCGCCGCGCCATCCCATCCTTCAGAGGGAGGGATTAGCCCTGACCTGCTTGGCAGCGGGAGGGAGGCGGAAGGAGAGGGCTCACTGCAGCTAAGGATATATATGGTGTGATAAATATTCCCTGGGTCTCATCCGCGCCCCATGGGACCACTTTTGTTTGGACTTCAGCATCCTTCAGGGGATGCTCCAGGGCAGTGAGGTGGGTGGTCATACCCAGCTTTCCCCCCCATGGGGCTCTGAGCTGGGCACTGACAGGACCTGGTTGCAGAGAGGACGAGTTGGCACCTTGGCAATGGGCTCGGGCTCGTGCGAGTGTCGTGGTATCTGTTTGTGCATCGATTGAGAGGTTGCTGGGGCAGGGACTGCATTTTGGAGCTCCTTGGGTCGGTTTGGGTGGTACAACCTGGGGTCTGTGCTCACCACTGCCTGCTGAGCCGTGGCCTTGCTTCTCTGAGCGAACGCTGGGGTGCTGGACCTGAATACTTAAGGTTTTGCCTGTTGAGAGAGAACTTAACTGCCATCCCCTCCCTCCCTCTGTGTCTCAATTCCACTGTACTTCACGGAGCTTTTGCAATTAAAAAGAGCAGGAGCCAAACTAAGTTCCCTGTAACCGCTTGCAAGCAGGAAGAGCAAGTGTGTGCTAATTGGGATATTGTGCTGCCTGCTGGCTGGCCCTGCTTGCTGGGGAAGTGCAGGTGGGGAGAGAAATGGCCTGATTTTTGAAAAAGATGCTGTTGAGCTGGTGGAAGCCAGTGTGGCTTAAGCTGGCACAGCCCTCCCAGTGCTGGGGCTGGGCTGGGGTCTCTGTGGGGTTGTGCTGGTGGCACTGGGCTCCTCGGCAGCTGGGGATGGGGACGTGCAGGCGAGTGCTGGGCACAGCCTCTTGGCTGCTCATTCCTGCATCTCCTGGGCCGTGTCACTGGCTCAGCCTCTGCCTGGTTTAACAACCTCAGAATGTCCTGGCTCTGAACTGGGAGGTGATGGGTCCTGCTGCAGGCAGAGCTCTGCGGTCCTTGGGTGTGGGGTCTGTGTCCCACTGCAGCCCAGCTGGAGCAGCACTTGCAGGGACATGCAAGAGAAGCTGTGGGAAGGAGCAGCACAGGTGATGCCTGGGATGGCTGGTACTTCCTCTGGGCACTGGATGTAGTTTTGCAGCAGGAGCTCTCCATGGTGTGGGGGAATTTTTAATGTGTTTGATTTCATAGAAGCACAGAATGGTTTGGGTTGGAAAGGACCTTAAAATTCATCCAGTTCCAGCCCCCATGGGCAGGGACATTTTCCACTAGACCAAGTTGCCCCAACAGGGGCTCCCTTGCCCAGCTGAGTCCTCCCCTGCCCTTTCCAGGGACCCCTGTGTCTGGCGATGCCGGTGGCCCAGTGGCTTGGCCACCACTAGAGGGGGACAGGATGCCACCGTGCTGACCAGCCCTATGTCCCGGGGTGCCAGGACCCGCAGGGCTCTGCCCATGCCCCCCATCTCTGCCCGTCCCAGGGTGGCAACATCCCCAGCACCCGGCACCTGCCTCTCTGCCCTGGTGCTCCTCAGCCCACCCCGGCTTGGACGGGTGATGACGCAGCCCCGGGGGCTGGAGATCTTCTCAGTTTGCTCTGAGAAGTCCTTGCACTGCGTTCCAGACCCGGACCAGGCTGTGGTGTGGCTGGGATAAGGGCGATGGGAAGGCTCCTTCCTCACCGATGTGTGGTGGAAGCAGGAGGAAGCAGCACCGCTCCTTCCTTTGGGGCTGGGGGAAGCACCACACCGGGCCATTCCCACCCGTTATTCCCGCCCTTGGGGTGCCCCTGTGGAGCTGTGCAGGTGGGGCAGGAGGGCAGCTCTGGCCCCTCGCTGCCCGGAGCACATGGGTAAGGCTGTTCCCTGCTCCACGAGCACCTGCTGTAGGCAGGTGTCTTCTTCCAGATGTGCATCTTCCTCCAGATGTGCAGCACCAGCCTCCTGGTGGAGGGCCTGCTTTGGGGAGGCTCAGGCACGATGGGAGCAAGATCTGGGCTGTGCAGGAGCAGTGGCTCGTTCGTGGCTATGGGGATGGGGGAGGCAGGTGGAGAGGACAGGGGTGCTCATCTGCCCCCCCTTCCCAGGCCTTTTGCAGCCCGGGCTCATCGGGTGATTCACACTCCATCTCCCCTAATGATTCCGTGAGGGATCTGAACCAGCTCCCTCCTCCCCTCCCCATTATTGGCGCTTTCTTCTTGCCTGCCGTGATATTTTTACCTTCAGTTCGTTCAGATTATGTGATCAAAGGAGCCACAAAGGGGAGAGAACAGAGAGGAAAAAGCTTGAAAGAAGAAAGGGAGAAGCAGTGGGCTCTGGGGGCACTGCCAGCTCCGTGGGAGCTGCCATGGGCTATGAGGGTTTTCCTGGGAATGGGTCTGTGTTGTGACCAACCCAGCTTTGATGGGCAGAAATGTCGCAGCTCCAGGGATGAGGGTGGGAGCAGTGACCGCTCTCGGCTGGTGCAGGGCTGCTGGGGGGGACAGGACCGTGCTGTCTGAGCATCCCTTGGTCGCCCCATCATCCGCCTCCTTGGCACGGGCAAGGCATGACCCGCTTCCAGGCCGTGCCAGGAGCCACGTTCCCCTGCTCCGTGCCCGCTGGAGATGCATGGGGTGGTTCTTGCAGAGGGCTGATCCCTGTCCCTGATCCCCACCCGAGCAAGGGCTGTGGTCCCAGGGGCTCTCCCAGCAGGCTGGGGCGGGCGATGTGCTGCAGCATTCCCAACTTCCTGCCTTTGGAAGCACCGGGTAATTCTGGTTCCTTAAAAGCCCTGGCTGTCAGAATCGCTTTGGAGATGGGCCTTCAAGCGGCTGCGGCGGGCAGGGACGTGCATAATTTATGGAGGTGAGTGGAAGCCGGGGTCCTCCCGGCCGGGGAGCCTCCCCCGCGATGTGACGGGCTCGGCACCGGCTCGGGBGGGCAGCACCCCCGGGGCCGGGGAGGATCCGGCCGCCAGCCGTGGGCTTGGGTGCCGGGCTCTGTGCTTGAGCTGAGATTAATTTAAGCTGTTTCCTTGGTCTCGCTGTTGCAGCCTGTCCTGCCTGGGGAACGCGTTTGCCTGCTCGGCTCCGCGCTGCTCTTGCTGCCTGCATTAATCATGCGCTGCCCTCGGCATCCATCAGTGGCTGCTGGGAGGCAGCAGGGATGGGCTCGAGGGAGAGCCTGCCCGGGGGGAAACTGAGGCAGGGGCTGTGCTGCCCGGGCAGGGGCAGCTCAGGTGCTGTCGATATTTGCTGCTGGAAGCTGTCGATAAGGGAAGTTTGCAAGGAAGCAGCTGCTGGTTCAGGAATCAGTGGCCTGAAGGCAGAGCAGCAGGAGCACGGTGCTTTGGGTAGTGACTGGGATCCATAATGCTGGATTTTGTCAGTGCCTGGCTCTCGCTGAGGACACAGACCAGCACTGAGCCTGCTCAGTCTGTGGCGCTCAAGACTCGTGGGCTCACGACAGGTGACTGAAAAACCCGTTGGGAAAGAGGAGGGATGCTCTGGGGCAGGCAGGGACCAGGGGTGGGGGTGTATGTGGGATTTGCCCCCCACTCCCCACCCAGTGCTGTCCTGGGACCCGTCCCACCCTCGCAGCTCCCTAAAGAGGTGACGGGGGTGAGTTCCAGGGTCTCCCTCCAGCCCTGAGCTGGCCACTGACCTTGTCCTGCTCTGTGGGACAGCGTGTGTGGTGCCCTGACCAGCCCCTCTGCCCGGCTGCAGTTTGGGCTGAGCCAAAGCCACTGGCGTGAATCAGAAATCCAGTGAATCCCAAACCTATTTTTTGCAATAACCTCCATTGGTAATTTCTGCTGGACTCCCTGACAAAAGCTCGG